CAGTTTTATTAAAAAAATACGTATCGTATTTGAATATTTTAATTAAGATTGTACTCTTTGATAACATTTGCAGCTATAACCAATCTTTGTATTTCTGATGTACCTTCATAAATCTCAGTAATGCGTGCATCTCTATAATGACGTTCTGCGGGCATATCAGTAACATAACCCATACCACCTAAAATTTGTATGCATTGATGAGCGCAGAAAGTAGCCGCTTCAGATGCAGACAACTTTGCCATAGCAGCTTCCTAACAATCAAAAGAAATCATTAGATTGTGTTTAAGCTTACATATTTTTTCGTTGTACCTTTGTATATGGTTTATCACTATCTTTAAGCACAGCTGCTCGCCACGTTAATAATCTTGAACTTTCTAATTTTAGAACCATGTCTGCAATTTTTTGTTGAATTGCATGTAACTTAATGATAGGACTACCAAATGCTTGTCGTTTTGCTGCATATTCGACCGCACAGTCAACAGATGCTTGCGCTATGCCTAAAGCTTGAGCAGCAATGCCTATTCTGCCAGCATCTAGAAAATTATATAATATAGTCATTACATTTTTAGATGTTTCATTCATACATATGTTTAATTATTTCATACCTAATGTCATCATTGCAATTTTAAAGCCCATTCCTGGTTCTCCTAATATATTTTCTTTCGGTAGTTTACAATCTTCAAATATTAATGAACAGGTGCTACTGCCACGAATACCTAACTTATCCTCTTTTTTACCAAGAGAGAGGCCTTCTATAGGTTTATCAATTATAAAGGCACTTATACCTTTGTGCTTTTTAGATTTATCTGTTGTAGCAAATAGAACAATTGCATCTGACTCGTATGCATTTGTTATCCATGACTTTGTGCCATTAATTATATAATTGGTTCCATTTGATTTAGCAGTAGTAGAAGCAGCACCAGCATCACTACCATTTCCAGGTTCGCTAAGAGCAAAACATCCAACTTTTGTACCATTTGTAAAAGGAGTGATATATACATTCTTTTGATCCTTATTGCCAAATTTGTCTATGGGCCCTAAATAAAGGGAATTATTTACACTCATTATAACACCTGCACTAGCACACCCTCTAGATATTTCTTCCAATGCAATAGCATATGCCAAATAATCTAGTCCAGTTCCACCTAAGTCTTCAGGAATTGCTATACACATTAAACCTAGTTCTCCCATTTTTTTAATTTGTTCTTTTGGATAAAGGTGCTTTTTGTCAATGTCCTTTGCTATTGGTTTTAACTCTCCTTCTGCAAAGTCTCTGCAATAATACTTATTGTATGTTATGTATTACATTACAGGAAAGAGGATTATATACTACAAGATTGCACATTGTAACTTAAAATTACTGTAACAAATCAATTAAAAGCATTAGGTATAAGGAAATAAAAGTGTTATAAATAAATGTATAAAAAAATAAGTACTTGCATGTTTTTTGTAACATTTGGTGGGTCTCTGGCAGCATAGAAAGAGCAGCAATATTTCGAGTAACAGTATTATATATTGTGGTTATGTTTTGAATATCTTATTGAGGAAAAGAAAATTATAATGGAATGTTTATTTCATATATAAATACATATTGGTATTTCTTTTTCAAATAAAAACTTACCAAGTAACCTTGTTTTGTACATTTTTAACATCTTTGTTCGAAATAATAGAGAAATTTAAAATTATTGTATTTTCACGTGTTATCAATGTAACACAATTTTACTAATGGCCAGTAACTTTATATACATATAACGTTGTGCGTTCAACCTGAATTCATAAATAGGGGTCAAAGTACAAAGTAGAAGTCGATGATTTTTATTAAAGCTTCTTCGATTATTTTAAAGTGAATAAACTCCTTTATTGAATACTTTTGAAATATGTATTGTTGCTAAATATACTTAGTGCTAGTTAAAAAAAATACGAATTATTTAACAAAATTACTTAAAAATGTAGGATAACAACACGCTATAATGAATTCGCAGAGTGGGTTAAGTCGCAAACTCGCAATTGAATGTCTCGTGTATTTAAATCTTTTAAGAATTATTGTTTTATTCTATTCATATTTAAATACTCTTTTAAAAGCAAATTGTCGCTTTTTTCATTGTTATACTAATAATGTGTTTAAATAAAAATAATTTGTTTCAATTTTTGAAGAAATTATTAATTTGTTGTATCGCTGGAATACAATTTTTGTTTACTTTAAACATTTCGTAGTTTCAGCTTATGTCATTTTTTAAGTAACTGAAATCTGTTTTTTATATTAAAGTAAAGTTACATACATATCCTTAAATTGGACCAGATTTTCCCGCGGTATTTTCAACAGCGGCCAGCAATCAATATGTTCGCGTGGGTAATCTGAAAATGTGCGCATGTACGGACAGTATTTCTGTTCGATAATAATCCGTTTGTTTCTTCAGCTTTGGAGGGTGAACTTTGTAAAATTGCCATCTGTAACACAAAGGAATTTGTATTAAAATAAAAACGCAAGATGTCGAATAGTAAATGTATTAAACAATTGCGTAAAAATTATGTGAAAGAGCAGCAAGAAATGACTCATTCAGAAAAGCTACGCTTAATAGACGATGAGTTAAATGCATTTTACAAGTAATTACATTTTTTTGTTACATTATTATCATACTTTTCTGTAATATTTATGATTTATTTTTAAGTGCCATTAATATTACTCCAAAAAATAATTTTTTTTTAATAGATGTTTTTACATTTTTAAAACTCTTCACTAATACTTTATTTAGTTTTTCACATTATTTAACAATTTTTTATTACTTTTTCATACATTTTATTACTTGGTAATACATTTTTAATAAATTTGTTTTATCTAGATTAATAATGATTATGTTTTGTGTTATTTATTTATAGATATTGCCAGCAGGCTGGTTTTACAGAAGAAGAAATGGATATTATTTGCCAGCCTTTAGTGGCTGCAATGCGACGTTCTTGGCTACAACTTGTCTTCCGTGGAACACTTATTTTAATCGTACTTGGGACTTTGGCCTGTTTAGCAGCTCAACTTGATTTTGTTGGGACACATTTTACCGTTATAAGTCGTCTCTTACTCATTAAAGTTCTCCCAATTTGGAATTGGCAACCTTTATATTATGAAAATTGTATGATCAACAATCCCTTTTACAGTGATTATATGATAACAGAAGAAGATTGTGTGGTATGCTTATTAATGTTAATCAGAATTAATTTAAAAGCAGAAATAAGTCATTAAATTTAAGTAAACAATTTTTTCAGACTTGTGAAGCTTTAGAAACCATTGATCGCTTGTCAGATGTAAGATATCTCAATCTTGTTGAGAATTATCTCAGTAGGGATGCACCTGCAATTATTACAGATGCAATGGATTCTTGGGCAGTTATGAACACAGACTATTTCTGGTTTGATAACATCACTCATGTAAGTATAAATGTAGGAGTAGTTAAACTTGTATATACATATATATATACATCTGTTTTATAGAGCTATAATGCATATATCATATCTTGTTTCTTTCAATGAAATAAAAATATAATTGAAAGATAAATATTTCCATGTATACTAAGCATAATAATTGATACATATGATGTCTATATGAACAGCTTTATTTAGAAGACGAACGTTTAATGGAAACAGTACCTTGTGCTTTGAGTTCAAATTTAAGAACTGGTTCGTCCGATTTGGCAGCATTTTTACGTCGAGTACATTCGCCCGAAGTAGCTAAATGGTTCGTCCATTGGCAAAACTGTGATATGAACGCTGTGAAAGTCTTGAGAAAGTATTATCAGCGGCCGTACTTCCTTTCAAGTGCCGTCTCACCAGCACATTTTAATTGGGTCCTTATGTCTTCGGATTACAATAGTCCGAGTTATAAAAAGGTTGAATTAGATTCAGGTCTCATTGCCCTGGCTCAATTACGAGGTGCTACGCAACTTCGATTGACTCCTATAAATCCTTGTAATAGTTCTTGTCCCGAGTTAATAGCAGACTTGCATCAAGGTGAAATGCGTAAGTTTAACAATTAGCTACACAAAGTGAAATCTTTGTTAATAAAGTACTGAAAGTAATAGTTCGAGAAGAGATTGAAAATTGACGATGGTCTTAATTTCAGTGGTTTTTACTAATTTGATGTGGACTTTGGAGTACGCGCCAATGAGAGGATTAGATAATATCGCCATTTTGACTGAAACCGTCTGGGAAGAGGATACATAAACCGTAATACATTTCTCTTTACATTTCGTTAGTCCTTGATATTCGAAATCTAAGTATATATCGCTCAATTACACGTATATGTATGTATGTACACATGATTCTGGTACCATGTCATAGTTCACGTTAAATAAAGTACTTTCGCTCATGGAATACGTGTGTGAAATTATTTTGAAAGTTCGATCCTTTTTTCTTACCTTAAACATTTAATAATAACTTACAATAATACGTTGTAAATACTTTTTTACCGTATTATAGTGAACGGAGCTTTTAACGAAAAGGACTTGACGAGGATACCAAAACGTAACAACAAACAAGATTCGTTTTTTATTAATTAATCGTTTATAATAACATTGTGTTTTTTGTTGATTTTTTTTTCTTTTGTAGCAGTTTTCCCGATATTTCAGTTGGGCTAACAAGGAATAGATTGTTATGCACCGATTCATAGAAAAAACAAAGCGCAAGATTACTGAATGACAAACGTAGCTGGCGATTCGACATGCTTAATCGATGCGATAATTTGTTATATTAAAAGTTGTATGAGTGTATATAATCGATTTCCTCCATCATTTTTTTTTTTTTTTTTGCGCTACGTTCTGTTTATACAATCTTAGGGTACCAATGCAAGAGAAAGAATGACAATAATTGGCGCCTAGCTAATAACACCATCGAAGTATGTTCCTCGGGTCTTCTACACCGCACTCTGCGACTACTTGTTTCCTCAAATTTCTTTCTCTCCGAGCCAACTCCCACATCCGTCTCTATTTTTCCCACTTCATTCCGCCTTCTCGTATATGCATCGACATACAGACACGCAACACGCATGCACATTCTTCCTCTATTTTTTTCCTTTTTTCTTTTTTTTTCTTCCTTTATTCCGTCTCTCCATAAAGTGTTTTCATGGAACAAAGTTCTCTACGATTCCGAATGGGAGATTTAATCTTTCGCAGAAGATCAATACTCGTCACTAATAGCTGTTTGGGATATCGTGTATTATTTAGCTAACCGTTATCTAGATCGAAATAACGCATGTACATCTATTTTTATCAGGGTTATGGAAAACACTTTTCTGAAAGAGAGTTTTCAATATGAGGCCTAACACCCCCCATTTTTTACTTTTGTGGTTTTACTTGTATGTTTTTCTTCTTTTCTTTTTTTTTTTTTTCTTTTCACCGATTCAAAAAGGATATTCCACGCGCTTCAGACGGTCTTGATTCATCGAAAGAGGATCGACAGATCGATCGAACATCATTTCTCGATCGTTTATTTTTTTTTTCTTTTTCTCTTTTTTTCTTAGGACATACACATACGCATCATCCTCGGCACGGCTTACATTTGCGATTCATGTTGTATTAGCTGTCACGGTATCAAAAGATTTTTTATACGAATCCATTCAACGACTAAATTTATAACAATGACAATGTACAAGTGAGTTACTACACAAAAATGAGCGTCGACGACGAACGAAACGACTTCGAGGTATCTAAGAGAATTCGATATTTCTCTCGTTTTATTACTTTTTCTCCCCACACTTTTTCTTTTTTTTTTTTTTTTTTTATTTTTTTTTTTTTTTTTATTTTTTTTTTTTTTTTTATTTTTTTTTTTTTTTTTATTTTTTTTTTTTTTTTTATTTTTTTTTTTTTTTTTATTTTTTTTTTTTTTTTTATTTTTTTTTTTTTTTTTATTTTTTTTTTTTTTTTTATTTTTTTTTTTTTTTTTATTTTTTTTTTTTTTTTTATTTTTTTTTTTTTTTTTATTTTTTTTTTTTTTTTTATTTTTTTTTTTTTTTTTATTTTTTTTTTTTTTTTTATTTTTTTTTTTTTTTTTCTTTATCATTTTTATTTTTTTTTTGTTACTCTCGAGGTTTTAAATTTTCTTAGAGGTTTATTTTTACGTTCAGTCTGCGCTTGTTTTTTTATATTTCGCTTTGTCGTGTGTGTGTGTGTTATTTATTATTTTTTTTTTTCCTTTTTATTCGTTTTCTTATATATTCCGTATTTTCAACTCTTTTTTTTTTCTTTTCTCGGTAAACGTTTAAATAAAAAGATTCGACTAAGTATTATCCGTTAGTTCTTAAATCGTGTTCGACCGTTGCATTGCGTCAGCTTATTGTTCCTGTTGTTGTTAAACTTATTATCTCCTAAGATTTGGTCTGATCACAAAGAGAGAAGAGACAGAAATTAGCTCTCGATACGTGGGACACTTGAAATGGTTTTCCCCTCGCGTTACTTTTTTTGCTTTTTCGTTATTAAGACTACTTGCATGTTTTTTGGGATATTTTTTTTTTCTTTTTCTTTTTCTTTTCGTTTATGATATCTAACACCTAACGATAATAGATGAAGATCTCCACCAGTTAACACTTCCGATATTTTCTTTCGTACATGCTCAATGCGGCTACATTG